GGATGATGATGAATAAATCAAATGCAGTGCTAGTTTTGAAGATATGGAACATATTGGTTGTTTTGCAAGCCTTAAGATATGGAACTTAAACGATCGAGTTCCCACAAAATAGAGTTTCTGAGCTGATGGCTGTTCACGTTGTATTAGTGCTCAAAATAGTTATGAAGTAAATAATGCTGATATGCAGTTGTGTTATCAGCCAGGTGCATTTTATCCATCTGGAATATATCACTACGGCACCCTGCGAATTATAACGACTTATACAGCAGCGCCATTTGGAGAAAAGACAACATTTCCAACACATGGAAGCTGATTTTTGAAACAAAAACAAGGATGAACGCGGGTTTGCTGTTTCGTTACAGTAAGAACAGTACAAAAAATGACTATAGTTAGTGTTAAGAAGAACGGACTGCTTTGTATCTTACGCTGGAAACTAGCTGTCCCGCCCTACTGTAATGGACTGTCGTCCTCACATGACTGCCAGTTTTTGAGCCGATGAAAGAATGAACAACAACAAGGCACACAGCCGTGGTGGTTTGTCACACTTACAGTATTCACGGACAATTATAAAAAGTGTTGTTAGTAGTTTACAGTACCTGTTTTTCTATGAGTGTGTTTATTTCCTCACTGTTCGCACCGAGCCTGTCCTGTAGTGACTGGTTGGCGAACGTTACTTCATATCTAAATGAAAATCGGGCAAATCTTGATTATAACAGGACAGCGAAGATAAAAGAAAGAATTATACCTCCAGTTGTACTGCTGAGCCACTTCGAGCAGTATGTCCACCACCAGACCCGGACCGGAGCCTGTGTTGGTCGTATACGCCGTTGATTCGTTGAAGTAATTCACAAATGGAGGGTTCTGAAAAAATTCTTTTAATAAGGACAAGGTGATGAGGCAATCGCCAAGGTAAATTATTGAACCACTGTCGGCTACTCAAAGGCTCACTTGTAAGCTAATTCGCTTAGGCAAAGCTCTAAGAACAGAGCCATTTCGAACTCCGCATCCATTTCATTTCAGAAAGATTAATCTCCGATCTGATGATGAGGAATTCTCGTTGCGACTGCTGCATTTTCTGT